CCTTTTTAGGCTGCTCTCCGAAATCCCAAAGATGTTCCCGTCGCCGATCGTGGTTACGCCGAGCTTGGTATGCTCCCTGTTGAGCCACAGAAGCTGGTTGTCGTCGTCCATGGTGGCCCTAAAACCAGAGACCATTACGGATACTCGCCGCTGAATGTCTTCTTGACGAACAGAGGCTACGCGGTGCTCCAAGGTAAGGTGCTACTTCAAGAAGTAACCCGGAGTTGGAGGGTCCCTAACAAAATCGCACAATTGAAATCGCTTCAGGTGAACTTCCGTGGGAGTACTGGATTCGGCAGGCGTTTGACGAACGCTGGAGATGGAGAATGGGGCAGAAAGATGCATTTCGACATATTGGATTCTGTGGAATTTGCTGTGGCGAAAGGAATCACCAATAGATCTCAGGTTGCCATCATGGGTAAGTAAGCAGCTTTTTTTTCTCAACCACACCGGGGAGTCTCTGCAGAGCCACTTACCCTTTCTCGCTTTCCCAATTTTTCTTCGTTCTTCTTTCTCTTCTACTCTACCAGATGCTCCTATATACTCTGAGCGCGAACGTGCCCTCGTCAAGTATAAACGGAGGGTCACTCATTTTGCTGGTTCCTGCTTGTCATTCCCATCGAGATTTCCATCGAAATCCGCTTCTTCACGGGTATCTGACATCACCTAGAGGGTACAGTTATAGTAGTTATGGCTCCCAGGGATCCATTTCGGTAGTTACCGCTTGGGTCGCCTGTGTCGCATGCGGTCGTGTACGGTCACCTGGACGCATCTATAAATATAGAGGGGCGCGCAACGCGTGTCGCGCGCGCATCCTATATTGGAGCGCAACTCTAGTGTTGCAAAGCAACAGACGTAAGCAAACCAGCCCTTTTGGCGCTTCGGCTGGGACCGTATGCTGAATGTTGGGGAGGGGATGGAGTCCCCGACGGTGGACGGACCACTTCAACTCGGTCCTTAGAACCGCCACAATTTGGTGCTTACCTCAGAACTAAGCCTTAAAGAGAGGACGGGTCCGTCCCCTCTCCAAGGCTTAGTCCTGGGGTGAGCAAACCAGCCCTTCTGGCGGAGCTGCTGGACCAGCTGCACCACTTGCGTCAGTACTCTCCTATCGTACCAACCGAGTTGAAGTAAACCGTCGACCGTTGGGGACCCCATCCCCTCCCCAACATTCAGCATACGGTCCCAGCCGAAACGCCAAAAGGGCTGGTTTGCTTACCTCCAAACAATCAGGCTAATTTCTCCAGAAGTCGCCCGTGTAGCGCTTATCTATTTGCAACTGACATGAGAACTGAGCTTTTCTGAACCCACTGGCCACTCGTGAAATAGCATACTATAACAATACTAATATACTCTTGCTATTTTCGGGACAACTTCGCCGATGCAGATGTGCCCTGGTTTTGGTGTAAGCTTTGACTCCATCTCTATGGAAAAAATGCTCGATTCTTCTTATTTCTGGCCACTTTCGAGTGTAATAGTGGAATCGCGAACTGAGGTATCTCAAAGCCTCCATTTTCATGCCGAAAGCGGGGTGAATATCGGTCGAAGAAATCCTTGGTCGTATTCAGGGTGAGTGATGGAGGATCGTACTCGTGGGTGCCAGTAACGTGAGTGGCATCATTTTGCAGATAGGAGGGAGAGGGTGTAGCGCAGCAGATTCTCAGAACGCCGTCGCACTCGGCGACGGACAAGCGATGGAAGCGACAGCGATCGCTCACCCCCCCCCCCCCCCCCCGTGTTAGTCCCATCGTGTGCAATCGCTCTGCCGAGAGCGATTGGCACGCGATTGCGCATTGCGCAATGTGCACAAGCGACGGGCGATTGGCCCCGCCCCCAGTCAATGCAGTCGGCTGCGGTATCGATCGAGCAGAGCCATTGCCCGTCGCTTGTGCACTTTGCAAGCGATTGCGCAATCGCTTGCCAATCGCTCTTGGTCGATGGACCGAGGACGGAACGATGGAGCGATGCGATCGCGACCCTCGAGTTGTGACGCGGGTCTACGGCGTGTGAGACAAGCTCAGTTGATCGCACCTCATCTTTTCTCCTGCATTCTTGATCAGACGTATGCTCTCTCGTCTTGTCTACGTAGCGGTTCCCATGTTGTGAGTACTTCTTTATTCAACCCGGCGCAGTATCGCTCATGACGCCGTCCAGGGTTGCCTGGTATGTCGCTCATTTCTGAACGTTTGTCGTCGTTTCCGGTCTCGAAGGATCCCGCTGTACCGCTAATCAAGGTTCTCTCAAGGTTCCTTGATGTAACCCCATGTCGCTCCTCGTCGCCTGCTGGTTATAGTCCACCGTCCACTTTCGTTCATGTCACCTACTTTCATCCCCATCTCCTTCTCTCCGACAGTGTAGTGGAGAAAGTTTAAAAGTATCGCACTCTAGTCGCATATGACAGAGAATTCCGAAAAATCAGCTGAATCTAGATGTTCTCAGGGTGGAAGGTTAATGGTGGTATGAAATGTCTGGTCGGGGCGCTCACGTTTACCCCAGTGACGACTTCGCAATGTGTGTGGATATAGTTGGTCCATCGAACTGGTCAGTCTTTTAGTAAGGCAATTCCACTCGCACTGGCGGTGGTTCAGAATATTTTTGGTGGAATGCCGGAGCGAATCAGAGTGAAGTTTTTGTTGGATATGCGATGACCCTTGCGCAAAATCAATAACCATATCAATCACATGCCTTAGTGGAGGGCAGGAAAAGTTCAATTGAGCTTCAAAACAACACATTTATTCATCAATGTGTTAATTTCCATTGTTTCCAGTGAGGCCGGCCGTCAATCACTAACCGCTCGTTCGCCGCTGTTCTTCGCTGACCGCGTAAAGAAGCCGTTGATGATCCTTCAAGGAGCCAATGATCCTCGCGTCAAGCAACGAGAATCTGGTAAGTCCTCCTGGGACGTTCTTACTTTTGTAGGAACTCACATCTTAGAGAAGTTCCTGAAGTTTGTGCGCATGGATCAATTGTTCAGATCAGTTCGTGGCCGCCTTGGAAAAACATCACATTCCCGTGACTTATGTCCTGTATCCAGATGAAGGACATGGCCTTAGAAAGGTACGTTTCTGCTACTTTCAAAGTTACTGAAGAGTCACTGTTTGTTGCGAAAGAGTGTGCCATTAAGTCCGCAGTGCCGACTTCATCCTTCCCTTCCTCCTTATGGAGAGCGAAGCATACCTTGGAAGGAGCTTTTGGGTCACTATTTGTGACTATTATGTCAATTTTTGATACTTCACATTATTATAATTTCTGACTAATTAACAAAACAGGTCATCGTATTGCATCAAGGGCATCAAAAACCACACATGAATTGCGTTTTCGGTTTTTCTAGAGCTACGTAGCCTGTGCCATTAAGTCCGCAATTGCGACAGCTCCCTTTCCTCCATCATGGGAAATGAAACATATCCCGAGGGGGCCTTCTAAATTGGTCTCTTTACTCTCGTATGTCTCTTATCGTACTATTTGTACTTAATTTATAGTCATACTTGAATTTAGGCTAATAATCGATTGGCACAGTATGGTTTTATCGAGCAGTTCTTGCATATGTGCCTTGGTGGACCTTTTGAGCCTTTCCAGCAAGGACAATACAACTCTTCGGCAATTGTAAGTGAACAGTGGTTTTATAGATAATTTTGTAATTACGCTCAGTGGTTTTATAGATAATTTTGATATTCACTTGCTGGGAATGTGGGGTGGGGTATACGGTATCATCAGTGATCAAGGTTGCCAGTAGTCCCGGAGCCGAAAGTCTTGGGAGCGGTCACTAATCGGATTACTCGGGCCTGTAGCATCTATGTGATTTGTGCTCCCAGTGATCCTCGACCTCCGTCGGGGCAAAACTTTATTTTTAACTTCAAACCGGAACGGCCCACTGGATCCGGAGCTCTGCCGGAGAGACTTGGCGGTAGATGGATATTGATTAGTTGTGCGCAAAATCAATACTCATGTTATATCATGCGCTTTGGTGAAGGTTCGAAAGATGGAAATAGACATGTAAGAAAAATCAGAAATGCATGACTATGAGATCGTGCCAAGACCTAAATTGATATTTTTCAGCTGATGTCCGACGGGTTCACCGCGGCACCGCCAGCGCCGGCCACGATACCGCCGCCGCTTCCCGTGACTGTTCTATTGACCAATAATTCCTCGACCAGTGGTCCGGCCGACGATGTATATCTCCCACCTACGGCTAACGTGCTCACCCGGATCTTCCCGCAATATCACGGATAACAGCTTTACAACTCCCAATAGCTTTTTATCATGACATGGTTGTGCAATTGTTGCGGATTTTCCCAGTGGCTGTGCCATAATTGGTCCCCGTCTGTACTCTAGCGGCTGGCTACACTGTCGTTGAGTATGAACGCTAACTTGTCTGTTCTCTCCCTTCACTACCCCATAAAGCTCCCCACCACGACAGACAGTGTATAGAGAACTCTGAGCGATGCTCAGTGATTCGATCTTCGTTGGAGCTCGTGCCAAGGAACGTCTTTCTTCGCTCTTTCATTGTTGTAGTGCATGTTTCCTTCTATTTTGGGGTTTTGTGCAATGTTCCTTTTTTCAGTTGTACTTATTTATTGCAAGCAAAATACTTTTTTGTATGCACTATTGTGCAGTCTATATGTGCAAATCATAAAGCTTTAATGTAATGGCTATATTGCTATGAACGACTAGTATTGTGAATGAGCAGCTTTCCGTACCTAAAGGCAGTGAGCACGATGAGTGGAGGCGGAGCGGTTCAGCGAATTGACCGGGCCCATTGGTGGAAGGGCATGGGGAAGGCAGTCAGCCACTTTGCCATCGTGCTAAAAGAGAGACTTTCGGG